GTTTTTCCGCCGAGGGATGCTCCTGGCGTGAGGCGCGGAGGATGGAAATTGTCTGGGAGGTGCTTTTCCTGCTGCAAGCCAATTTCATCGTCTGCCTTTCAGGTAAGGGGAGGGATGGGGGCATTGCGGGGTGGGCAGTGGGCAGCCCCCCGTCGCCCAGGGGGGCATGGGTACCACCAGGGACCACAAGTTCCTCAACTCGCCCCAGCTGGGGGACTGGCACCGGGCTGGGTGCCTCCAGCATGTGGGTAGTTTGAAAGCTGCTGCTGGGGCTCTTTTTGTGTGTGTTTTTGGCTGGAAATGGATTGAATCCCCCTCCTTTATAAATCTGAAACTGGGAATCCTGTTTCAGGCTCTCCGGTCTCAAGGTTGCAGACGTTTCTCCCTCCCCATGTGCGGGCAGTCAGGGTATTGCCTGTCCCGTGTGTCAAGGGGCACGGCTGGGGTCTGGCATTAAGGATTGGAGCAATTTATGCCCTGGAGAAAACACTCTTTTCGGCTTGAAAAGCCCTGGCTGGGTGCTTCGCTTGCCATAGCAGTTGGCTGGAATAATTACCATTGCAGGAGCAACAAGGAGTGGGGGGGCTGTGGGATTTCTAGCTTGGGACGCTTCGGTCGCAGCCCCGGGGGGAATCCGGGCTGCCTGGCTCCCTGCAGGCTGCCTCTGCCCTCCAGTCTTTGCCTTAATCTGGGACTGGCAGCACCAGCCATTACATTGCAGGGAGGGAGGTCCCAGTGGGTGACAGAGCCACGGGCTGATGGAGAAACCTTCCCAGTGACCAGGCAGAGACTGGCCTTAGCCAGCCCCTCCCCACCAGACCGGCAGCCCCTGCCCCATCCCTTCTGCTGGCTCAGCTTGCAGTGCCCACCCCTGCTGGCAGTCTCTGCACCAATTTTTGGCTGAACCTGGAATAAGCCAGGGAATGCCCACCCTCTGGTAGCACTTGTGCCAGGGTGGGCATTACCTGCACCCAGTCATGAACTGGCAGTGCCTGCATCAGCCCACTGGGTCACTGAGCCCTTTTTTTCCTGCAGTGATACTGTGCGCCACCAGGCTGGGTGGTGTGTTTTCTGACGCTGGCAGCAACTCTGGCTGCCCTTACTCCCTCACCTATGCTTGCTGGCACTGCCTAGATAATGCACCCTCTCTCTCCTTGAAATGTCAAAGCCTGCTGCCTCTATCATCTCTATCTCATGCTTTGCGGTTTGTCTCAGTGTGATATGCCACCTGTCTAGCTCTCCGAGAAATAGTCACTTCCCATGACACGCACAACAAGAACACAGTAATCAACCTCACCGTGCTAAAATACCAAGCTTTCTGACCACTTTCAGCAGTAACATACTGAGATAGACACTATATGGGCTCTTACACTGAGCTCATCACTCGACTATCTAGCTGGTATCTCCTAATCTCCCTCCCTTCTGAAATCGAAACCCAGGCTTGTGAAACCGATAGTAAGCTGGGTCCTACAGGGGCTCTCTTGACTCTCCATCTCCCTCTAGCTCTGAGAACAGTCTGATAGCCATCTCCTCTTTTTTTTTTTTTGGAATAAAACAAACCACAAGCTGCATCTGCTGCATGATTAAAGCCATGGCTTCAAATATTTTGGTTTAATCCCATGCAGAATATTTATGTCCATTTAGCTTTCAGTTCCATATTTTTTCTCCCCTGGGTTCTTTCCTTCTCAGAGATCCAGAGTATTTGTCATCCTGGCAAGAAGAATTAAGATCTGCAGATATCTGCCTGGCACTAATGCTTTGTATCTCTTGGTCCTTTTTCATGCTGTTCTGGAGCTTATTAATTTAACAGTGCTAGTTGGGCAATGGTTGAGGTACAAGGCAAAAGATAGCCTGCTAAGATGTCCTAAATTAAATTGATTCAAATCTTGGATTCCAGAATATCATGGTGTTAGCATACATCATACCTCTGTCACGTCTCTCACAAAAAGAAATTAGGTGAGAGAAGTTCTTTAGGATTTGCATCTCTTAATTACAGAAGTAAAAAAGAATGAATGGCATCAGTGAATTAAGTAATACATTTTTTTTTCTTGGTAAATCAGTACATTTCAGCAAGACATTTCTAAGACTGTGCCTTTACTTTTAATGGTGTATGTGTATCTTTCCTGTGTTACTGAGTAAGGGCCTGACTCAAAGGCTATTTAAGTCACAGAGGATTCTTCTATTATTTTCGATAGATGTTGGATCAGACCCTGTTTAAAGCTACAATTCAAAGTGGCATTGTTAGTTATCAGCCGATTAATTCAGCCTGTCTGCTGAGTAGCTCTATCAGATTTTGTCCTGTATGCTTTTATATAACACTACTTAAAACACAATATTTGCTGAACAGTTTCTTATCCAGTTCTGGACTTCTGTGACACAATTGTATGTTAAGACTGAATTCTTATAGTTGCCACTTTTGAATGCCCCTCCCTTGTAACAATTTAAGTCAACTGAGAGAGAAAAACGGAAGGAAACACCATTTATATCCCAAATGTTATGTAAAATTGTTTTTGTAGACAATTAGTAGTTCTTTGTGTAGGAAAGCAATTTTATCAACTAAAATACAAATACAGTACGATTTTAAAGGAATAATTGGAACAGTCTCCTCCCCAATGTTTCATTCATTGGTCAACTACCTATACCTCAGTTGTAATATTTTGGAGTGGATTGTCTGGGGATGAATGGTACTAGGATGCAGAAGTAAAACAATTATGGTTTTCTTCCAAGTATTTTTCGAGATGGTTTAATTTAGTGACAATTTAAAACACGCCATTTATAGGTTTCGTCTCCTGTGTAGCTTGTCAGCTGGATGCTTTCATTTTCTGGGAATACTGAATCAGTACTTCTGCTACTTAAAGTTGTTTAAAAAAAAATCACCTAGCTTCATTTGTGTGAGTGATAAATCAAAACAGGTTGGAACAAGAACATAATTTTAATCCCTTAAAAGGAACTGAAACGCCTTTTTTTTTAATATGATGGTGAATTTTTTGTTTTGGTGAATAGAATTGCTTAAAGGTATCTGTGATGAAGACGTTCGTAGAGGTTCAGCTACTAATGATGATACTGCAGGATGTCATTAAGAGAGTGTTGTGCCAATGGAGTTGTTGTCCTTTGGATAGGATGTTAAAATAAGATCTGTTCTGGCTGTTGTTCCTGTGGAGTTGCAGATAATCATGACAGCAAATAAAAAAACAAGGAGATTACAGTCTGTGGTGTGACGGCCAAAATTCCCTTCCTGTGTAATACCACTGCGGATTAATTAGCAGCAATGTTCACAGCTGTAGGTGGGCTGTTGCTGGCCACGCAATGGCTGCCACGTTTGCTTGCACAGTCATTTGCATCCACGATGTGTAACGTTTTAAGGGGTGTAGACATTTGCAACAGAAAAGCTGAGATGTTCTTTTCAAACCTTTGCAGCACACTTCATTATAAAATAAAGAATGTCTAGCATCATCCTTATTTAATGAGAAGGGCTCCACTTAAGGAAGTTTGCCCATTAGTCTGCTCAAAAGAAGTCTGCATGACCTGGCTGCTCTGGCTCCTCGTGGTGTGCTCCGACTGTGACACCAGATCTCAGGAGGCTGTTGGCAGTTCAAAGGTTGTAGTCATGAAATGGCCAGGGCACTCGTTATTTGAGAACATTCTCATTTTTCTTAAGAGTTTGCTGTTTTCCAGTCATGGATGGGCAACTCCTGATCTCATTGTAGCCTCCTTGAATTCAGCTGGCAGCACCAAGGAGCCATAAATCACAGCTTACTGCCCGACTGAGGCTTCCCACGTGGAGGAACTCCTGGGCGGTGAAGAGTTGGCCTAATAGCTTCTGGCACTGAGGATGTCTGGGGGAGTGCAGTGAAGCAATGTTGCACTTCTCCAGCTGTTTTAAGAGCTGTAACCTCTGGTACGGCTTAGAGCAGCTCTAAAGCTGCTCTAAATTGTCAGGGGTTGAAGTAGCTCTTGGATGGCCCAGTATCTAAGAAGCACTAAGGTGACACAAAGCCTGCTTTGCTTGCTCCTTTCAAGTCTCATCTTCAAACACAGCAGGGAGAGACCTGGAATTTTAGGGCCTGATAATTCCCGTTTCCTACCAGAGTACAATTGGCATAACTCAATGAGTGTTCAAGGAGATTCAGTGTTGAAAAAGAAATGTACAGAAAGAGTGCTAGGTCTTCAGTATCCATTAATTTCTGTGGCTGTACTGTGCTTCAGTAATTTAGGACCAAAAGCTTTGGGAACAAATTCATAATTGTCAAATACTGCTTCAAAACTCTGATTTTTTCTCTCGTGTTTGAAGTAGGTAGAAAATAACATAAATAAAGAGTGTACTGTTCAGATGCAAACAGCTAGTCCCACTAAGGGGCAGATGCAGTTGATCCCACTAGAGTCAACATACGGGTTGATAAATAGGCTATTATGTTTAGTGGGCTAGCACTTCTGGCATCTCATGTAGTAGGTCTCCATCCTGTTCCCTGGGTACAGGCCTTTATCCCTGCACAGAGCCCATTGAGGTTCATGGAAATCTGCACAGGTTCAGGGATCCTTCTGTGCATATCAGATGGCAGGTTTGAAGCCATATGTTGGCGAGAATAACAAAAGGGTTTTGATCCAAAGCCTTGTAGGTTGAGAATAGTTGCACAGTTTGTGTAGGAACCTCTGCAGCACTGTTCTGAATGTCTTCTCAGCTTGAAAGTACCATGAATTTTGCTGCCTTCTCAATGGATGACAATGTACCTGTACTTAGACACTACTGAAATAATGGCCTTGCCACCCATTATAAATGTTTTCATTTGCTTTTCTGTTTTATAATTTCAACCATTCTATTTTAATTATTAGCTTTTCATCTCACGATAAGATAGACACCAAAGCATGAAAAGGATAAGGCACTTATTTTTAGCTGCACAGGTAGAGAAGTTTGTGAATCGTCTTGCACATTTTATACCAACCTGTTTTATATCAGGCAAACCTAAGGGGAGAGATTTGTAATCTTTGCTATTGTTTCTCAAAGAACAATGATTGAGATGTACGGTCTCTTGATCTTGCTCTGCTGACTCATTGTTAATAAAACTGAATTAGATACTCACCCAGCAAGACAAAATTATTTAAAA